GCAGTTTGACTAAATTACTCATAAAATTAACAATAAATTCTAGGAGAAAAGTCAATGCACTTTAGAGAGAGACACTCCTTGGCAAGCCAATAGTGCTAAGGGGGAGTGGGGTGGGAAGGGGGGGGGGTTAAATAGTTCAACCATTTTTCTAACCCCATTGTAAATTTATTCTAACACCTTGCAATTTTTAAATCTATATTATACAGTTACCTGTTTTTTTATGATAATTTTTCAAAAGAAAAAAAAATCATCTAAATGTTTTAACAATAAAAGTATGTCTGAGCCTTATAATTTTCAAAGTCTGCATCCAAACTTAAATTAATTCAAGTCATTAAGTTTCAATTAAGTGATATTTATCAATTATCCAAAAATCATTCCCTCGGACAGACCCCAAGATTTTATGCATACATATTTCTTGTTATTTTAGAAGTTTTACTTTTGATTAAAAAAAAATACAAAATAAACAAAAGCCATTCATTGCAAAGATAGACATTGTTTTGTTTAAAGGTGTCTTTTTTATGAGGTGCCACAAAAATATTTAAAAAAATAATGTTTTATTGGTTTGCTTTATTCCTTTTTTTTCACTCTAACATGAGACTTAATGACCAAAACGCAAAATGAGAAAGATTTTTGAAATATTTTCGACAAATCGCTTTGATAACTTTTTTAATAAAAAAATATTGTCAGGGCAAACAGTAGAAAAAAACTGATAGAACATTGAATACCAACATGTGATAAACATCTCAAATTCTTGCACAACATGTGATAAACATCTCAAATTCTTGCACAACATGTGATAAACATCTCAAATTCTTGTACAACATGTGATAAACATCTCAAATTCTTGTACAACATGTGATAAACATCTCAAATTACAACATTTGATAAACATCTCAAATTCTTGTATAGCCTTTTAAACATGATCGAACAAACTGAATGTTAAAACTATAATTAATAATTATTAAAATTGTTTTCTGACTCAAAAGGACTGTAAGCGTAATTTCAAGTGACCCTCAAGGCAACAAGAGATTCACAACGGTAACCTTAAAAACTTGGTAATTTCCAAGAGAACGATTTTTGGACCCCCCCTCCCCCCTCCTATCAATTTTGTACATTTGAATAATTGATCATGTGACCGCAGCACCCAGCCCCCTAGCCTACCCTAGCCGCAGCGCTCGGCCCAGAAAATGTCTTAACCTAACCTAACCCTCAAAAATAAAAAGTAAATTTACAAAATTTATAGGAGGGGGGTAGGGGGCGAGGGGGGGGTCTAAAAATCGTTCTCTAGGACGGACCCTAAAAGTTTGTCTAGTTAAGTATAAATTAGTTATTAATGTTTTTAGTTTTGAAAACTTACTGTTTTCAATTGTGGTTTCTCTACAAAAGTGAAAACATATAGACATAGAGCAGAACTCTTTTAATCCTAGAAAAACGACAATATCTTCCACATTATTTAGCGTATAAATGTTACAAGGATAAATTACGCTTACAGTCCCTTTAATTTTATTCTGATATTTCATTATTTCACAACTTCGATATTAGTCATAGTTCTCTATTTACACATTACACAACATGCACTTACACGTGTTTTGTAACTGAGATGAGTCACTTATTCTATTCTTAATCTATTTATTTTTATCTATGGATATTGCATAAACTAATTGATCTATCTATATATATATATCAATCTATCTATCTATCAATATATATTGAGCAAATACTATTTCCGAAAGATTGTTTTCATTTATATTATCACAATTCTATCTTATCTGTTTAAATATTAAGATGTATTATAAATAGATAAAATTAAAATTGACGCGATTTTTTTAAAACTTTAATTTTGTTTTTTTTTAGTTCATTTGAACTCTTTCTATTCCTTAGGACACCCTTCATCTAAAACATTTTAATTAACTCTCTGTAATCAAATATCCGTATTAAAAAAATTCTTAACCTTACAACTTTTTGGACACTTTTCTTATGATAAATATAAACATTGAACTTGGTGTGTTCTAAAGATAGTTTGTAATTCAACACCTTTTCTATAATACAATGAAAGTATCCGCACCGAGCCATAAATCTACAGTTATTTTGTACTTTTGATTTTTTCTTAATCTAGACTGCACACTCCCCGGGTAACGTGTAACTAATTTCCTTATCTCCCAAAGCCCCCTCCCCCCAACTCTTCTTCCTGAAATAAAAATGAATAATATTATACTATGATATATATGATCATAAAACCGTTAAATGGAATTTGTTTTATAACTAAACACATTAAGAATGGGTTATTTTGATTTTTTTATAAAAATAATAGAACATTTTTTCCGTCTATTACTGTTAATTTTGGAAAAATCCCTGTTCAGATCTTAATTTACTTTGGGGCAATACAATCTACTTTCATATCTGTATATTTGTTTTCTATCATACATCTATCTATTTAACTATCTATCTATCTATCTTTTTATTAATCTTTATGCAAACAAAATGAATCCAAAGAAAAGCAAACATTTTTTCCTTCTTGACAAGTTGGTTGATCTAAATGACTTTCAACAAAAAACTAGAAATACAAAATAAACTGCAACTCAAAATTCTTCATCTCTTTCTTGGTATTTCTGTTTACCATTTCTGTTTAATAAACGAGATTTTTGTCCATTTATACTTTGAAAAAAAACATCCAAAATTTGAAAAAAAAATCTTTCAAAGTTGATAATTTGATTTGATACTGATAATTTATTTCTGGAAAAGATCCTATTTTCTATCCTTTAAAATTTCTTCATTGAAAATATAAAAACATCTCTTAATATACAGCTGTATTTTATAATTTTGTGGGGATCATCCCCCTGTAAAGACATGATTTTTGTATGGATCTCCCTGTATAGAGGATACAGACATGATTTTTGTATGGATCTCCCTGTATAGAGGATACAGGCATGATTAAAACTAAAGCCAGAAGCTTGAACTAGAGCTAAAAATATCAAGTCATTTAAAACAAAACATTTAAAAATCATCCAACGCTACAAATTGCTGTGTCTATGGGAGTGGGGTGGGGGGTGTGAGGGGGTGTGGAGGGGTAGATGTTTTTTCGAAGCTTGAAACCCTAAAAATAAAAATAAACCAAAACTAAACTCAAACTGGCCATATTTTAAAGGTCATGCCTTTGTCTGGTCTTATTTTATTGTTTGCAAAAATTCACACAATAACTTAAAATGAAGGGTAGACCAACAAATTGAATGTAACATTGAAAAAATCTGATGTTTTTTTGTTTGTTTCATGAAAAAAGGATTGTTTTACACTGGTTTTCAAAAAACAAAACATTTTGTCTGTTCAAAAAAAGTTTTTTTTTGAACAGACATAATGTTGAGTAAAAGTAATATCATAATCAGGTATCTATCTTAACAATCAAATTTGATAGATTATAAAAATTAACCTCAATATTTAGTATGTGCCCCCTCCTGGTAGCATTGTGCCCCCTATTTTGAAAAAATATTGATACCTACTTTTTAACTATGTAAACTATTCGATCATGTACACACTTTCATATTGTACAAGTGTTAATAAATTATTGATGTGTGCCCCTCCATAAGGGGGGGGGGGGTG